AAGCATGAAGCCTGCATATGTGTACAAGTGTTAATAAATTTAAAGAATGGGGAGGAATTATTAGTTACAGGTCAAAAGATCTTATTAGGAATCTGGTAGCTTTCTACGTACCTGATAAGCGCTCACCTCAGATTTTGTTTGGCTTGCTTTTCTTGGCTTTGTGCTTGGGAAAAATCCCAGGCAGTGCTCAGGGAACAGTATGTGGTGCCAAGGATAGAACCAGCGTCAGCAGTATGCAAGGCGAGCACCTTAACCCTTGTACTATCTCTCCAGACATCTTATTTCAGATATTTGGTCAGAAATCGAAAGTTCTTTAGCAATACTCAGTCACTTTAGCAATACTCAGTGTATGCATGAAGAAGTTCTATGTGGGATATAGCAGTTGTAAATAGAAAAAAAAACATGGTAATAAAAATGATTAGATGGGGCTTCAGAGATAGTAGAGCAGGTAAGATGCTGCCTTCAACGCAGCCGACCGGAGTTTGATTCTATGCACCAAACACTGTCCCTAAGCACCACCAGGAGTGATCCCTGAGCACAGAACTAGTTGGAGTAAGCCCTGAGCACCACTGAACGTGGCTCCAAAACGAAAACCAGATCAAACAAAAATGTATTAGACAGTATCCATAGATAAACAACGTTCAGGAAGGCCGTGGTCTATGAAACTCCATTTGTATCCATCTCATCACAGAAAAGTTTACACGTATTTGTCATACTTGGTCGTTAAATATTTATTCATGAAACTTGAGTTTTTTTCTTTCTGGTCATGAATGGTTCTCTCCCTTCCTAAGACAAATTTTTAAAAAGGCACAGGTAACCTATAGAAACTCTATGTTCCAGAGGCAATCTACTGATTGATAAAACTTTCGCTGGCATTAATTTATAATTCCTAATGGTAATACCTTTAAAAGTGAAAAACAAAAATTTTATCCCCCACTTCAATCACTTGTTTCATGCTTTTGATCAGAAAGGGGCTCTGTGGTGCATTCATGGAACGCATAGGCTCAAGAAGAGGTAACAAAGACCCCACTTTTTTTGTTGTTGTTGTTTTTTGAGTCATACCCGGGGATGCATAGGGGTTACTCCTGGCACTGCACTCAGGAATTACCCCTGGCGGTGCTCAAGGGACCATATGGGATGCTGGAAATCAAACCCGGGTCGGTCGTGTGCAAGGCAAACGCCCTACCTGCTGTGCTATTGCTCCAGCCCCAAGACCCCACTTCTTGACAGAGTCATTTTGATGGGTGTATATACACGCAGAGGTGTGAGTGGATGAGATGGTGCATATATACACATGGGTGTGAATGGGTGAGATGGTGTACATGCATACCTACAGACGACTGGTTGGAAGAGATGGTGTATATACTACATAGGAAGGACTAGAAGAGATGTTGTGTGTATACATGTAGGTGTGAATAGATAAGATGGTGGGGCTGGAGCGATAGCACAGCGGTAGGGGTTTGCCCTGCACGCGGCCAACAAGGCCGACCCAAGTTTGATTCCTCTGCTCCTCTCGGAGATCCTGGCAAGCTACCAAGAATATTTCACCCGCATGGCAAAGCCTGGCAAGCTCCCTGTCATGTATTCGACATGTCAAAAACAGTAACAACCAAGTCTCACGATGGAGACGTTACTGGGCCCGCTCGAGCAAATCAATGAACGGGAGGACAATGACAGTGACAGTGACAGATAAGATGGTGTGTACACATGCAGAGGGTGAGTGGATAAGATGGTAAGTATACACACACAGGCATAAGTGAGAGATGGAAGGTCGATTGAGGACAGCTCAGTCCCCAACTTCTAAAACATCAGCCTACAGATAACACCGAAGGCAAAAAATCAAGAAAGGGCCATGTAAATGTTAAAATCTATGCAGGTAAATAGAAAGAAGTGAAAAGCATTAAAAGTGGTTAAGCCGCAAGAAACTGCTGGGTTTTAATGACTCTCCAATCTAAAAGGTGAGTTTCAAAGGACTCAAGTCAATGCACTGTATTAGTGTAGTACAGATTTTAGAATAAGTTGTCTTTTGAAAGAGAAAACAATTATTGACAGAATGTTCAAGGAGGGGGGGAAATTCTACTTTCCCCCCCTAATATTACTGGCAGTGTTATATCCCAGTTCTGGGTAATTAAAGTGTCACCATGTGTGATACTATCATTCCTAACCTATCAATATTATATTTTCTAGTTATTAAAACAGAAATATTTATTATAATTTAATCTATTTTAATAACAGAGAAATTACTGTAGCATTTACTGTAGCATTTTTCTTCAATCCATACTCCAGAAATGGCAAACTAATGGTCTGTAAAGATTCTGATTTACAGAATGCTGAATAACAAGGCCAGGGTGTTTTCAGGTTCCAAACAATAGCTAAGTCATTCTTGCAAAATTAAAGTTCCACAATACTGTGGTACCATGCAAGCCTATTTCAGTGCTAATTCTGGTAATATTCCTCTGTTTATCTAAGACTTCCCCTTATGGTCTGTTCTAAGGGTATGTCCTAAAAACATCTTATGCTGATCATAAAGCATGGGGGGATGAAGTTCAGAGGCAAGCACTGCTTTGTCTTGCTTGTTTGTGGCCCTGGGTTCTATCCTGGGCACCACACACATGAAAAAAAGTTATTGGGGGCTGTTTCAATATTAGTGACCTGGTCAAGGAAATTAATAAAGATATTTTCAAGTTAATTTATTTTGTGGTTAATTTATTGATATAGCTGGAGCAATAGCACAGCGGTAGGGCGTTCAATTGTGCGCAGCCAGCCTGGCCGATCCGGGTTCAATTTCTCCACTCTTCTCGGAGAGCCCCCCAAGCTACCGAGAGTATCTTGCCAGTACGGCAAAGCCAGGCAAGCTACCCGTGACGTATTCGATATGCCAAACACAGTAACAACAAGTCTCAAAATGGAGATGTTACTGGGCCCACTCGAGCAAATCGATGAACAACGGGAAGACAGTGTTGATATATTTTTATTAAAAACCTATATTATAAACCAAGACATCTCTAAATTGAAAAATGACTTACTAAATTTATCTTTTTTTTAAAAAAAAGTTTAACCATGGTAATATAAAGAATTTTACCAACAATAATGAGTGCCAATCCAACCAACGGAAAATTTCCCCTTCAAATTAAAATGAAAAGCAAATGTTTTCAACAGAGGGAATATCAACAGATGTTGTGCCTGACTGCTTAGATTTCATTTTGCACCGAAAATTATCAGGAATTAAGACAGATGTAATTAAGAATCTCAAAGAGCATCTTAAAGAAAGCGGAACCAATTAAATTATTGTATCATCCAATAAGCTCCTCTTAGCTTTTCTACCAGGGCTTATTTGACTCACAAGATCAGAGCAAAAATATATTTTGAGAGCATTTCTTATAGCTGAGTTCAACCAGTTTCCCATCACTCTGCAAAATAAGGGTCAAAAAGAAACTGAAAATGTAACTTCAGTAACGTCATCTAGTTTGGAAAAGATCATAAGGTCAAAAAAAAAAAGGCAACTAATAATTTAAAGCGGGTGCAACTGCCTGGTTTGAATGGCTCTGAGGTAGCTCTCACTCCCAGTCACTATCCATGCAAGAGTCCTGCAGTCAGTGGACAGAGCCCATCTGCGGGCACCTGCAGGGCTTCCTCCCTGGGATGCGGGCACGGATAAAAGGTGTTCTGTTTTCCAGTAGTCCTGTAAGAGGAGCCATTGAGCTGGGTAGCACGACCTGACAACAGAACCCTGGAAAAATTGAGATCAAAGCAAAGGCGCATGCCAGGGTAATAAGCAATAAAGCCCTTTGCCAAGGCATTAAGAACAAGGGAGGGGAGGTAAAAAAAAAAAAACAGCGAAAAGATGGACAGACCCTGCTGGACCACCTCCTTCTTAGTAACGCAGAGAGGCTGGACCACTTTCTCAGCAACGCGGGGAGCCGGGAAGAAACAGAACCTTCCCGGGCAGGCGGCGCGCGTGCCCTCGATCCATCAGCGTGGTCCTACAGCGGGGCACGAACGGGGTGTTGGGGGGTGGGGGACGCTCCCACGATCCACGGATGCCCCGGACCCGGATAGCCGGGTCCTCCACGCCGCGCGCGCGACGCTCAGCGCGCTGCCACGCACGCACGGAACCCCGGGCAGCTGCAAAGTTTTCCGGACAGACACACGGCGGCGGCGGCGGCGGCGGCTACCCCCGTGGCCAGCAACGCGACCCGCGGCTTTCCCCGCAGACACAAACACCATCTGTTTTTGTTTGGTGTTTGCAGCCAGCACCGGGGCGACGATCCGATCCGAGCGAGCACGGGATGCGCGCGGCTCCCCGCACCCTTCCACCCCGACCCCGTTTTTTCCTTGCACACCTCCCCCCACCCCGCCCCCGAGAGAAAGAGAGAGAGAGAGAGAGAGAGAGAGAGAGAGAGAGAGAGAGAGAGAGAGAGAGAGAGAGAGAGAGAGAGAGATCGGACCCTCCTCCACTCCCCTCCAGGAGGGTGACCCGCGCGCGCACCCATGCCCACGAAGTCTCCAGAAACAAAGAGGGTTCCCGGGGGCTCCGGCCTGCGTGCGGACAGACGCCCACCCCCACTCCCCCAGCCCCTTGCAAGACCCGGAGCGAAGAGACCCCCCTCCCCACCCCCACCATCCCCGCGGGAGTGGCCATCCACGAGTCCATCGAGGGCAGCGGTCTCCCGCCAGAGACCTCCCGCCCCCACCCCCAGCCGCCGCGGGTCCCGGTGACACTCGGGCACGAGACCGCCGCCACAAAGAAAGGGGAGGAGCGGCGGGGGGAGCAGGAAAACAGCGGCACGCCGCGCCCCCCCGCGCCCGCGCCCGCGCCCGCGCCCCTCCTCCCCCGCCGCCCCGCTCCGCCGCGCGCGTGCGGGGCGCCCTTTGTGCGGGGGGCCCGGGACGCGCCTCCGCATCCCCCGAGCCCGCGGGGCCGCCCGCCCGCCGGGACGTGCAGCCCCGCTCGGAGCCCCCGCGCCGAGCCCCCGCCTGCCCTCGCGCGTCCAACTCACCCGAGAGCGCCGGGGGCGGCGGCGGCGGCGGCAGGCGAGCGGGAGGGTCCGCGCCGGGCGGCAGCGGCGGGGCGGCGCGGGCGGCGAGCGTCCGTCGGACCCGAGCGCGGCGGAGACGGCGGCGGCGGCCGAGTGCGCGCGGCGGCGGCGGCGGCGGCCCCCGGTGAGGGGCGGGCCCGACGGGGGAGGGGCGGGCGCCGCGCCTCTCATTCATGCGGCGGGGGCGGGGTGAGGGACCCGGATGCCCGGGCAGCCCCCGCCCACCTCGCCCAGGCCGCCGGGGCTTCAGAGCGGGCAGTGCGCAGGCGCGGGGGCGGGCGCCGCGGCTGGCCGCCTCCTGCCGTCGCCCCTCCGGTCCCACCGGCTGGACCCCCCCTCCCCCGCCTCTCCTGCGTCGGTTCAGTGTTTCTACGTGCCCTGTCAGCATCCCCCTCGCCCCCTTAAAGTGTCCGCCTGGACCATCACCTCCTTGCCTCGCCTCCCGTCTGCCAGCCTCCGGGGGCACGGGGATGAGCGCAGAGTGGATGGGGAGACCGTGCGCACCGCCCCCTTCCTCCATCTGTGTCTTCTGCTGCTGCAGTGTCGGCATCGCTGGGGCTTGTAACACCCAGCGACGGTGCGGGTCTTGGAGCGACGTGTGTGCCAGACACAGTGCATGACTTCTTCTTATTTACATCGACCCGGTCCCCCCTAGCTCACGACTTCTTACATGGACCTGCCACCCTTAGCTCCCAGCGCCCATTGTGCAAGAAGGCAGGGAACAGACCTCGTTGGTTGGTGGCAGGGTGGTTTTGTTGTTGTTGTTTTGGTGGGAGAGGCAGCAGAGAAAAGGGACGAGTATGTGAGGCTCAGCCTTTTCTAGAGTCCCCAGACCTAGACTGCTCCAGGGGTTTGGGAGGGCCTCTCGTTGGAGGCAGGCTGTTGGTTCTGCAGAGGCCCTTCTGCTTCCAGCCTGTAGGCTCTGCCCCTCCCGGGTCCGGAAGCCTTGGCAAGGCTGTTATCGTGCAGCAGGCCTGGCAGCATCTCCTAGGCTTCTCGGCTGGGTGTGTGGGCACTGTAACTCAGGACCCAAGCCAACGATTGCCCCCACCCCTTTCCTTAGTCCCATCTCCTCCTCTGAGCTGAGAGGTTCTGTCTTTGACCTAAAAGCCCCCTGCCCCCGTATAAACCATAAATGTCTGAGTAGTTTCACTTTGGGAAGCAAAAGTTATCATGGAAAGTGCCTGCAGGCAAGTCTCTTCTGCTTTGACAAGTCATAGGCCTCCTGAGCAAGAGGGAAGTACCTGGAGACAGAAACATCAGGCACAGGTGAGTGGCTGGGGAATTACCCAAGGGTCAGTCCCAGTGGTGAGATGGGCAGAGGGGACTGTGCTAGCTGGAATATGGCGTGTGCACACACAGTGTAGGGACCCACTCCTTCTCCAGAGCTGCCTCTCAGCACCCTCACTGCTATTCACGCCAGCATCCCGGGGGTCCTCTTTTCTCTTCCTTTCTAGTTCCCCATAATAGCAGATACCAGGAGGACTGGCTGCTACCTCTCCATCAGCCTACATCAGGTTCCCTTTTCTCTCTCTCAGAGCGATGGCTGGACTTCATGCCAATCGGTTCTTGCACCTTGCAGTTCTCCTCTCTTGACTGCATCTTGGAGTTTCATTCTTGGGACTTGGGCTCTGCTGTTTCCATGCCCAGGGATGCAACATTCACACCTTATTTATCGATTTATTTATTTTAATGAAGATTTCCTTTCATTGCAGGGTCACGGATTGCAGGGTACACTCATTTTTGCAGCACCCATCTGTTGTCCCTGCCCATGTTCCTGCTCACGGGCAAATTTTCCTCCCAGGACGTGGGTGCTTCCTCGCTAGGAACAATGTCTCCTGGAGCTCTTCCATGGGACTGGAACACAGTGGGCATGTAGAGATGATGGGGCGGGTGATAGTCACTGGAGGAGGCCAGAGAGGCACCAAGGGAGAGAAAAGCAGAACTCGCTTTTCTTTCGCCTTCCTTCTTGTGGTTTCCTTGCCTTCCCCTGCCCGGTGTGCTGAAACCTGTTTTGTTTGTTTAGAAAGCTTGGCTAGAAATTGCTAGTTCAAACAAGCAGTAGGGAAGAGGGTGGAGTCGCTGCTGCTTTGTGTGACAATTGTTCGTGTGAAAATTAGGTGGGGAGAGAGGGAGAGAGAGAAAGAGAGAGAGAGAGGAGAGAGACAGAAGATGAGAGGGAGAGAGAGTGGGGGTTCGAGGAACGAGGACCCAGGCTCAGCTGCAGTTATCAGGGAAACCCCTTTTTTTTATGTTGGGGCATATCCAGAGATGCTCAGGGGTTACTCCTGGCTCTGCACTCAGGAATTACTCCTGGAGGTGTGCTTGGGGGACCATATGGAATGCTGAGTATTGAACCCTGGTCTGTGGCGTGCAAGGCAAATGCCCTCCCTGCTGTGCCATTGCTCTGGCCTCAGGGCAGTCCATCTTATGAAAATGCTCTTGAGGCATTCACTAGTCCATTTGCCTAGTGGGACCATGGCAAAGTCTCCCCTTGGGATGAACAGGTGGGAGCTGGCCTCAGTTTCTCGAATACTCACAGTAGGATCTGGCTTTCCTGTGGTGGATTGTTCCTTGTCCCTCTTGGGGAAGAAGTCAGAATTTTTGACTTCTAGCTGATAACTCCCTGCTGGCCCATGATCCTATCTCCCTCAAGATAAGAGACAAGGGGCCAGAGCAACAGTACAGCGGGTAGGGCATTTGCCTTACATGTGGCCAACCTGGGTTCAATCTCCAGCACCCCATAAGGTCCTATGAGCCCCACCAGGAGTGATCCCTGAGCATAGAGCCAGGAGTAAGTCCTGATCATACATTGCCAGGTGTGACCTCAAAACCAAAACTAACAACAACAAAAAAGAGAATAGGGAACAATTTACTCCTCTCACAGCTCTGGACCATGCCTCCCCTTCTCTCTGCAAAATGCATGGTGGGGTGGACTGAGGTGTCCTCATGGAAGACAACCCCAAATATCCAGAGTCAGAAGTGGTGGCTTTCTTGGCCATGACTTTCTTGGCTGGCATGTTTTCTTGTGCCCCTCGATGGGAGGAGCTTTTGGTCTTTTGTTTCAGAGGGTGCTTCCCCCTCTGTCTCCCTTCCTCCAGGCCATTTTCCCTCCTCACCCGACACTGTATGAAGCAGCATTTAAGGCCCATTCTGTGTCCCCAACCCATTTTCCAGAAAACTCTGTCCCTCTCCTTTCCTCGAGGAAAGTCCTTCAATGCTCCTCTAACTTGGGGGAAAGACATGACATCTAATTTTAAATCCAATGTCTGTGACTAATTCTGGAAGAGCAGCTTGCCCGGATGGTGAGGGAGCAGGAGCCGGCTTTAGTCATCCGGAGAAGTGGGCGGAGCTGGGTACTGGGATCCGGCCTTCGGGACAAGTGTGTGGAGTTGCCTGACCCATAAAAGGCAAAATCTGACTTAAAACACACGCTTGGACTCAAAGGTTGTCACGACCCAGTGCCTCAGACTATCCTCCCCTCCTCACATGGACCAGTCACTTGACCACGGGTTAATAGTCTAGCTCCCGGAATGACTCCACGAGGCAAGGGTTGACATTCCATGCTTTGTGCTGGCGTCCCTTGAACTGGTCTGCCAGAGAGTCTCACCATTCCCCAGGGAGCCTGAAGTATGCTCTGATGTTTCTGAGTCCCTTCCTGTAACAGTCCCAAAGAATGGGACAGATAGTACAGCGGGTAAGGTGCTTGCCTTGCATGGGGCCAACCCAGGTTTAATCCCCTCCACTACTTGTGATGCCTAAGTACAGACAGAGCCAGGAGAAGGTCCTTTGTACCACCTGGTGTGGCCCAACACCCCGCCTTCACCCACCCCCGCAAATAACCAAACCAAAAGAATCTTCTTCAGAGCATCTTCTCCAACCAGAACTCTCACAGAGGTCCTCCCTCCTCTCTTCACAAAGATGACTCTGCCCGGGAAGAATAGAATTATTGCTGCATTCACAAATGTGGGGCGCCAATCCGGCCATGCTTTGGGGACCACGTGGTGCAGAGGATCAAACTCAGGCCCCCTGCGTGTATGCCCTGTCTGGTCCCTGGTATTAAATCTTATTTTTAAATTTTTCCCTTTTATTTTTATTTTATTTTATTTTTTGCTTTTTGGGACACACCCAGCGATGCTCAGGGTTTACTCCTATCTCTGCACTCAGAAATTACTCCTGGCGGTGCTTGAGGGACCATATGGGATGCGAGGGATCGAATCCAGGTCGGTCGCATGCAAGGTAAATGCCCTACCCGCTGTACTATCGCTCTGACGTCCCTTTTTTTTTTTTAATTGAATCACCATAAGATACACAGTTACAAAGTTGTTCATGATTGGGTTTTAGTCCTACAATGTTCCAACACTGTCCCTTCACCAGTGTACATTTCCTGCCATCAATGTCCCCAGTTTCCTCCAGCCTCCCCGCCCCCCACTGCCACCTACCTTTAGAGCAAGCATTTTTCTTCCCTGCACCCCCCCCCCGAATTTCATCTTGAGCTAGGACCCAAGTGCATAACGTGCGACAATGCTAATGGGGGATGAAGTACACATTGCTCTGTGTAAATCTCTGGTCTTGGGCTGGTGGGGTCGGTGAGACCACTCTTTAGTTTTGGGCCACATGAGGCAAGGTTCAGCATCTACTCCTGGCTCTGTGCCTTGAGGGGATATTTAATGCTGGGGACTGTACCCAGGCCAATGGCATGCAGAGCTTGCACTCAGCTCATTGATTCCCTCTGCAGTACTATGAGTCAGTTCTTATGATGTGGTAGCCGAGGTTTCTGTTTCCACGGCCACCAACCATCCGGGTTGCCTCTCAGGCACATACAGGCCCACTCAACCAGTGTTTTCTGAAGTGGGTGATCCTGCTCTCTGGTGGGGGTTCTGGGCTGTGGGGGAGGCAGTGGTGGCTAGGGGGGCAATCAAATTCACTTTCTGTTCCCTTGAAGAAGGCAGAGTCCCAGGGAGCCATTGCATGATTTTCTTTTCCCCTCTAATAGGAGAGGCAGGCGCAATAAATATGGGAACCTTTGAGAACTCAGAGCTCCTGAAAACAGATGCTCAGAGTCTGGTAGCAAAGCTTCCTAGCTGCGACTGGC